TGGTGACAATATTCTCCATACTTCATAGAATTTGTCACTAGGACTGAGTAAGAACAACAAAGCTGCTTTGAGATTTGGATGTTGGGCCATCTGCTCAGTTCACTCACTGTATACTTAAGTCATAGACTTTTGGGTCTCTTAAAATTATTAAAACTGTGAGAGTAAAAAAAAATGTAAGTACTTGCTAAAATACCTAATATGTATTTAGTTAGGCATACAAAGTAGGTCTTATTAATACTTCGTTAATTTATGGTGATACTGCTTCATCACTTTAGATTTTTCTCAGAGATTTATCTTTATTTCTTAGTATCTAAACAAATGTTTACAATCTATTCTTTGTAAGTAAGTTTGACATTATGAAATAATGAAATACAGACGAAGTCCTCAAAAATCATCGCAATTAGTTTCAAGGTTGAATGTTGTATAAATGTTTGGTTTTTAATAGGGTAAAAATAGTACATCTAAGTCCAGTTGGATTTTGTATACATATTACCTGCTCGTATAGGGAAGTTAATTTCAACTTTTAATAGTTTCCTAATTCCATTGTAAGTTCTACTCAAAAGGACTGGAAAAAGAAAAGTGTAGTTGAAAATTCAAATTACAAATCATCTCCAATATTGTTTTAACATTAAGGTCAACTACCTATAGAAAGAGATCATTATTTTTTAATTTTTTTATATTAAATATAAATTATTGTCAAATTGGTTTCCATACAACACCCAGTGTTCACCCAGTGCCCTCCTCAATGCCCATCACCCACTTTCCCCTTTCCCCCACCCCCCATCAACCCTCCGTTTGTTCTCAGTATTTAAGAGTCAGAAAAAGATCTTTTTTTTTTTTTTAATTTTTTTTTCAACGTTTATTTATTTTTGGGACAGAGAGAGACAGAGCATGAACGGGGGAGGGGCAGAGAGAGAGGGAGACACAGAATCGGAAACAAGCTCCAGGCTCTGAGCTGTCAGCACAGAGCCCGATGCGGGGCTCGAACTCACGGACCGTGAGATCGTGACCTGGCTGAAGTCGGACGCTTAACCGACTGTGCCACCCAGGCGCCCCAGAAAAAGATCTTTATTAAAGGATGACAACTATTATTAATCTCACTAACAAAAAAAGTTTCATTTTGTAAGTTTTAGTTTTCTTTCTGGCTCATGAAAAGTTCTCAGAACTAGCAGCTGATCTTTCTCTGACCAAATCATGTTTTCCCCATAAATTTTTATAGCAGTAATTTAGAGACATTGTGTGTGGGAGGCTAAGAACATCTATTTTTTAGCAGAGTGAATACTTTAAATCACTAAGTGTGGCATTCCTATTTAACTCTTTTCATTAGGAAAATGATACATACATATAGCTGAGGTATTTCTACAAATTTCCTCTCTCCACACTGATTAATGCTATATTATCACATTACAAATACCCCAATTATATAAAATTATCATGATCAATTTTTCCTAATTTGCAAGTTTTCTCTTGTTACTGACTTTGATTTTATACATGTACAAGAGAAAAACCTCCCTCTCACTAACAAATTAGAAAATTTGATAAAAAATGAACACACATTACTGGGCAGCATGTCAGTATTCTAGCAAACAGATTCCGTTGTTAATAAATTTCCTATAAAAAGAAACAAAATCTCAATTATAACCATTTTTTTAAATGAAAACACAATGCTTCAGAAAAGAATACTGGGGAACTTATGATTGTTCATTTTATAGCAGAAAGCACCCCCTCTCATCAATCATCAGATCTAAAATTATTAAATCTCTTCCTATCATATCAGAGGAGGAACAACAAAACATTCAAGGTAGAAACATTACTTAAAATCCTTAAAAGCAAGACTCTCAATATTAAAAAATCTTTACAATTTTTCCTTATCTTGTAAGAATGTCTAAATAGTAAATTGTAGTTATCTCAAAGGCCTACATCTCTTTGAGAGGATCTCAAGAGGAGATTTATGGTCAAAAGACAAGATTCTGAATAAGCTGTCAATAGCTAACCAAAGTACAATAACAGCACCATCATTCTGGTTTCCAACTAATTTTCTTCAGAGAGCAACATAATTCTCAAATTTAATAATTCAAAAGAAAACAATGGACAACATTAAGTTCTAAAGCATGTAAAAAACTATATACTTGGATTGGAAAAATATTACAAATGAAGAGTTTTCAGGTTTCTGTTGACCAACAGTCAATGGGCAATAAACACCTGCAGTTATTTTTCTGTAGGACTGATGGGAGGTGAGATTAACATTTGTAAAGCCTCTCTAATGACACAAAAGCCTTGGAGCTTGAGATTTATTCAACCTTTTCCCTAAGACAGAAGGAAATGTAATTCATATATAACATACTTTTAAAGCTGAATGTGAAAAAATCAAACATAAGCAATCTGATTATGATTCAAATCATTCCTTACAACTACAACCTTACCTAAAACCTGAAGCACTGACGTGACACTTAATATTAAGCTACAGAATACCTACCTCTTCATTCCATCGCTATCACCACAAGCTAGATAAACAACCCACTCAGCAGAAGATAAAATCCAGATAGTATTAAAGCATCTCCCAATTACACTTGGAATCACACATTGAATAGCAGCCTGCTCAGTGTTCTTTCACTTAAGCACTTCATAATGTGTGTGGGTGGGCCTGTGTTACGCAAAATAGGTAAACACTATATAACTCTAAATTCTATTGGCTCAAGTGAGAATTCACTTCTCTCCCTCACCTCCTCCCTAAAGAAGTCTGTGGCCCAAATGGGAAGAAACGGAAGTAAGAGGGAAGCATAGAACAGTTTTTAACACAGGCTTAATTTCAAGTTATGGAATAAGGTACCTGAAAAGGAAATATTCTATTTCTTAAAAGGCTGACTGAATTAACTACATAAATGCTCTAAAAATGTCAGAAGTATAACTAAGATACCAAACTACCCTTTCACGATAGTGTAATAGTCTATTTTTACCAGATTTGGTATAATACTCAATCTGTTAAGAAACATTCCATTAAAAAACACAGAAGAATCGACATAATTCATATATAAAGAAACAGTGTCTGTTTAGCACTCTCTAATGAATCAGACTCTTTCTGTCTTGTTACAAAAGACTACATTATCCCAGGCATCAGAACAGGTGAACATCTGATCACATTTTCAACTGATCGATCATGTTTTTTTATATCTAATTTTGTATTTTAAAATAAATTAGATTCATTTGGTGCTCATGAACATGGAGAATCAATAGCAATACCCAGAGGTGAGCTGGGACTGTTTAAGCTTCATCAAATAGCTACTGGACACACCGTTCAGTACAGACTTCAGAGCTCTTTTACCATCCTACTTGTAAACTTCATTTGAAGAGTTAACTTCTTGTTACTCCAAATTCCCCCATTCCTCTTAGGAAAAGAAATGTGTTTTCTTATGAAGGGTTGTACATGGAACTCGTCTATTCCTCAACACAAAGGTGAACGTGCTTTGTGCTTAATTACATTTAAGATTTTTTTAAAGCACGCTAATTAAGTCATAAGAACAAATGCTGGTTTATACCTGTTCAATAGGCTGCCTATGCGATCTATACTCTCCACTCATTAAATTGTTGTCCAAATCGAGTCTAGGGGTTGATATTCTGTTACACAAAAATAAATGCTTTTGGCTGGCCTATGTCTAATAATACCTTGCCACCTAATACCTTGGCACAAACTAAACCTCCCTCTATCTTATAGCTGCAAGTTTACTTCTGTTGCTTCCCAGCATTCCCTGTGTCACATGCCCTGAAGCTGTTCTTCAGTAAGTCTACATCATGTTTCTTTTGCCCATTCTGCTGGCAGTAGGCCTTTAAGGTTACTGTGAAGTAAATCTGCTCTAGTATCGTGCTTTTGTTTAACCAGTGTAGATGCATGTCCAGTCCAGGAAGCATATCTGTAAAAATGATCTGGACACATTCTAAGATTTTGCTATTTGTTGACCCTGCCTTGTCATGTGACTCTAGGCTGATGAAACTGCTCAAGAAGCCGGACATTACAGGTCCAATAGTCATACTAAATAGAATGCAGTTGTGACAGACTATGCCTTAAACTGGATTCTACAACAAAACCTGAGGACTTGCCAGTCTTTAGACCAACATATCAATTCTCTTAATTTTGGGAGTGTTTCTTGCTCAACAACTAAGGTAACTGAGATATCAATAGCTCATATGCTATCATCATGAACTACCTTAATGATTAAAATTAAAGCATTAAGACTATGAAAGTTCCTTATATATTTCAAACTCTGTGTTTATACCAAATAGTTTCCTGAGGGAATATAGTTTTCTTAAAGAACTCTAAGAAGACATTAAAGGCAAAATATCCATATTTTCTAAGTGAGTATGGTGAATTATTTTTATAATGAAACAAAGACCCATATTCATAAAGGAGAGAAGGGCAAAAATTAAATCTCCAAGTTTTTCTTTCCCAATCTGAATTCTACTTTTTGCTTTTCACATGTGCTTTGTTTACAATAATGTCTGATTAATAATATCATGTAGACCAGTCAAATACAAGAAAACTTTTAAGTACTCTTCTTGGCTGGTGGGACTCAAAGTTCCCAAACACTGGCAAATGGACTTGAATCTTGGAGATCTTTCTCCTACTCTTCTTCCATATCTAGCTTGGCTTACAGCTGTCTTAAATTTCCTTGTCTCCATCTACAATGTCTGAACTTTTGGCCAATATCTCAGTTGAGCTTGGAGACCAATGATAAACTTATAAAAATCATTCCAGAGGGGCACCTGGGTGGCTCAGTCAGTTGGGCATCCAACTTTGGCTCAGGTCGTGATCTCACCGTTCATGGGTTTGAGCCCCATGTCAGGCTCTGTGCTGACAGTTCAGAGCCTGGAGCCTGCTTCAGATTTTGTGTCTACTCTCTCTTTCTCTCCTCTGCTTACACACACACACACACACTCTTTCTCTCTCAAATAAATAAATAAATAAATATCATTCCAGAAAAAGACTGAAACAAAAGTACACTTACCTCATGATTTATAGGCCCTTCCAGATGTTTCTTTTCCTATGGTCCTATTTTTCTTATTAGTTATAGCCTAGCTTTTGATTTCACCTTTGGACACAACTAACCTCTGAAAGCTTGCTTCTTCTCTAATGTGATCTCTGAAAACTTCCACGGATACAATCAAGGACTCATTCCTCATGGTCCCTTCACCTCTAGCCACACCCACAGCAGGTGTGTAAATTATTTCATCCTTTAGTTCTGCCTCACTGATGATGCACAGGCCATGTTCTTCTAATCCATAAGCAAACCCACCCAGATGGCACTGGCTATTCTATCATGTCTATACCGAGTATCTACCTGTGCCTGTTTTTTTACTTGCCAAATTCATCTAAGTCCATTCCTTTCCAGGAAAAGATATACTGGGGCCTAAGATTTTTCAACAAGGGAGGGAAGGAAGAAGAAGAAAGTCACAGGTATTACTGCACCATATAGTCACATTCTAAAGCTGGAAAGAACCTTAAAGAATATTCTGTTCAACTTGCCCATTTTTCTGTTCAATTTCCTCATTTTACAGATGAGAAAAATCTATAGGTTATAGAGGGTAGGTTATTTGATGAGGTTGAGGGCTAAGGAGTGGAGCTAGCTAACAGATATTCTGACTTCTATGTTAGTCTGGTTCATTAGTTTTAGAGGCAATACTGCAAGTACTAAATAAAGAGCAGTCAGCCAACAAGTAACTCATACTTTGTATTGTGCAAATATTATCACATGAGATAGCTAAAGATTCACCTTTAGCTCTATTTGCTATATTGGTTGTTATAATTTATATCATAAAAAGAAACCTGAAAAATACATAAATAAAATTTGATGATGGAGATTTCTCTTTGCTCACAGAGATGCTATGCCTCCCTGAATTGTCTGCTCACTCTCCCACTTTGTAGGCTTTTGCTAACCTGGAAGTCTCCTTAAGCCAAAGAAACCTAGATGTCAAAAGTACTGCCATAGATAACCCACAGAATGGGAAAAAAATCCTTGCAAATCACTTTCTCACACAGATATATCTATATCTAGATACAGATATATAAAGAACTCTTGCAATTAAATGATAAAAATATAAAGCCAATTAAAAACTGGTAAAGGATCTGAATAGACATTTCTCTAAAAACGATGAACAAATGAGCAGTAAGTACATGAAAAAATGTTCAACTCACGACCCATTAGGGAAATGTAAATCAAAACCACAATGAGATACCACTTCACAGCCACAAGGATGACACAGTAAAAGACCAATAGTAAGTACTGGATGTGGAAGAGTTGGAACTCTCAATCACTGCTGGTAGGAAAGTAAAATGGTGCAGTCACTTTGGAAAACAGTCTGGCAGTTCCTTAAAAGATTACACATTAAGTTATCATATGACCCAGGAATTCTACTCCTAGGTGTATATCCAAGAGAAATGAAAACATATGTCCATACACAGACTTGTGCACGAATCTTCACAACAGCATTATACATATGGTCAAAAAGTGGAAGAACCCAATGTCCATCAACTGATAAATGAATAAACAAAATGTGGTACGTTCATACAATAGAATATCTGGCAATAAAAATGAATAAAGAGCTATTAAAATAAAACACAAATGGTGACCAGTATTGAAAACTCCCTGAGCAGTCATACAAGCAAAGTTTAATTTAGCTTATTATGCAAGACAGGTGAAGTTAACTTGACCTGTGTCACTTCTAAAAATCATAAACATGGGGCGCCTGGGTGGCGCAGTCGGTTAAGCGTCCGACTTCAGCCAGGTCACGATCTTGCGGTCCGTGAGTTCGAGCCCCGCGTCAGGCTCTGGGCTGATGGCTCAGAGCCTGGAGCCTGTTTCCGATTCTGTGTCTCCCTCTCTCTCTGCCCCTCCCCCGTTCATGCTCTGTCTCTCTCTGTCCCAAAAATAAATAAAAACGTTGAAAAAAAAATTTAAAAATCATAAACAAAATAGTTCCCCCAAATTGATAAGGGGTGACCAGTTACCAATTGTTTTTAAGAAAATTCCAATATTGCAAGTATCTGAGCCTCATTTCATGTTTTGGTTTGAATGCTCCCAGTTTACAAACTGTCTTTTTGGTGTATGCGCAATAAACTCTTACTAAGTTCTACTTAAGTGATTCATTGATTTTACTTGTTTTTTTAAATTTTTTTTTTCCAACGTTTATTTATTTTTGGGACAGAGAGAGACAGAGCATGAACGGGGGAGGGGCAGAGAGAGAGGGAGACACAGAATCGGAAACAGGCTCCAGGCTCTGAGCCATCAGCCCAGAGCCTGATGCGGGGCTCGAACTCACGGACCGCGAGATCGTGACCTGGCTGAAGTCGGACGCTTAACCGACTGCGCCACCCAGGCGCCCCATTTACTTGTTTTTTTAATGAACTTTTGACAGTACTGATAAATGCTACAACATGAACGAACTTTGAAAACATGTTAAAATGACTGGGCACCTGGGTGGCTCAGTCGGTTAAGCATCAGACTTTGGCTCAGATCATGATCTCACGGTTTTTGAGTTTTGCTGGTTCGAGTCCCTCATCGGGCTCTGTGCTGACAACTCAGAGCCCGGAGCCTGCTTCGGATTCTGTGTCTCCTTCTCTCTCTGCCCCTCCCCCACTTGTTCTCTGTCTCTCTGTGTCTCTCAAAAATAAATAAATGTAAAAAAAATTTTCTTTTTTTAAGAAAACACGTTAAATGAAAGAAGCCACTCACAAAGGACTACGTATTGTATGATTCCATTTACGTGAAATGACCAGAATAGGCAAATCCACAGAAAGAAAGTAAAATTAGTGGCTGAATAGGGTAAGGGCAGGGAATTGGGGTTTGGGGAATGATGGCTAAAGGCTAAGGGGTGTCTTTTTCAGGTGATGAAAATGTTCTAAAATTGATCACGATGATGTGGGTAAACTGTATGATACATCTCAAATAAAGCGGTCATTAATAAATAACAAATAAATAAAATATTACCACATTAAAAAAACCCAACTCTGACACAGCCTTGAGATCACTGAATGCTGGCATTCATCTGGAATTCAAATACTGATCTTTTAAAGAATAAAAGATCAGAAGAACTTATGCAACTTTAGAACTTGCATAAGTTAAAAAATTCCAAATATTTTAATTCCTACTACTTGTTGAACCAGAGAAACTGAGGAAAGTAATCATTTGAACATTCTACAAGTTTTCACAAACAGAGCTTAATTAAGACTTTTCCAAACCAAATGCTTTTTGTGCCAGAGATCACAAAATTCATAATTAGGCTTGGAATTTCTAACCTCATATTATTTTAATCTAGCTTTAATTGTAGACACAAGTTTTTTTGGTTCACGTTTTGCTGATATTTTACATCACGTTCAGTGAATGCAACTGAGCACAGTGTTTCCTCTAACACCAATCAATTCATCAATTCTCTGGCACCAAGTGGGTGTCCAACAATTCAACTGACAACATCTACCTGGAGTTAACTCAGATCCCACATGTTAAAGGGCTCAATCCCAAAAGACCATCCCACTTCCAATGCCAGTCACAAATCCCAGGCTATCTTTACTTTTGACTAACAGGCTATCCATCCGGGGTTCCCATTCCCCACTCCTCATGTTCCATAATTTACTAGTATGGCTCACACAACTCAGGAATACACTTTACTTACATTTACTTGATTATAAAAGGAAATATTAGCTACATATAATACCTTACAATCCTGTTTGGTTAAATAGCTAAAAATAGTTTAAAAACTATTATTTCTAGGTTATCAGATGATGCAATCTCTAGAAGACAAGATTTCAAGAGCTATCCCTCTTCCAATATGCTAGGTTGGTATTTTCCATTAAATGCTTATTAATGATTTTTTTTCTACTAAAAATAGCAACTGTAGGTGTCCCTTGTGGTTTAATTAACTTGGATGTTTGAGCAGTTTTCAAACTGAGGGCTGTGATCTCCTTACCTTTAATTTTGTGCATCTAGAGTAACTAGTAATGCAATTACTAATTCAACAAATTATCAGTGAACATTCACTATAATGCCAGAAGGTCTGGGAGTATTCAAATGAATGCAAAAGGTGTAATTCCCTACACCACCACTTGTTTATTTATAGTCAGCCCAACCTAAATCAGAACAGGACAGATACTATATTAAAGCAAAACACCAGAGGTACTGAAAGACTGCAAAGAAAAGTATTACCACTTTGGTGGAAGAGGATCCAGGAAAATCTTCACAGAAGGGGGTTTCTGATAAGCAGAGAAATAGCAGTTCAGGTGGAACAAACACATGCATCAAGACAAAAAAGGCAGGGAGTAAAAACTGGATTGTGTGCTCAAGAAAGGGTAAGTAAAAAGGTTCCCTGGAGGGAAGTGATTGGTTAGGAGACAGATAAACAGTAAGTCTGTGGAAATCAAGGAGCATGTCTCTGTAAGCTCAGGCACTATCAGCAAACACTGAATAAATGTCTATCTAATAACTGAATGGGATGCAGCTGAAAGGCAAAGAAGTGCCTGATACAGTGGACCTTAAGGACCTGGAGTTAATCAAAAGTCTTTACACAAGGTTTCAGAGAGGGGAAGAAAACAAGTGTGTCATCTACTGGGTAGCAGGTATTAAGAACTTTAAGTGTTAAACTCAATCTTTACAACTGTCTTCTAACAGATGAGGATATCAGGCTAAATAATTTACTCAAGGTCATTTTGAAACTGCGTAGCAAAAGTTATGATCTGAATTTAAACCCTTGTCCTTTCCACCATTCTACACAGCAAAGGTCAATCAATCAATCAAACCAGGGCCAGAAATTGCCAAAAATGTTTACGATAAAAACACTTGTGTTATGTCAAATTATGTCAAATTTGGGTGGAATTTTGGGACAGACTGACCAAAATTTAGGCTGTAGTATCACACATAAAATTCACTTTGGGGATTCTTGGAAAGTCCTCTCAAAGAAACAGTCATCCTTCAGAACAGATTAAACCGATACAAAAGAAGTGAATCTGAAGATGCATAGGCATGAAGACAAAATGGATGAAGTAATGTATGTAAAGGTACAGGCAGCCTGGACTTTTTTTTCTAGTTACTGATTCTGCTCACATGTCTTGGCAATTGTTTACTATTTAGGAAATTGTAAAATATATACTGATGAATATAGGAGGCTGGTGTGGGGTCCCTCAGCATTTGTGCACGTTATTGTTCAACTTCTCCCAGAGGGAAGGCTCTTTTCCTAAGGAAGGCAGGAGATCATTCAGGTCACTAAGAGGGATGGGTTTATATCTTTTTGTTTCTCAGAGCGAATGGATCAAGAACAGGCCAGTAATGTGGGCTCTTAGAGTGAGATGAGTTACATAGATGTTTCTGCAATGCAAGTTTGTAAAAGGAATAAGAAACTGTATATGCAGCTGGAAGATGTTTATCAAACCATTTGAAACCAGCCAGGTCAAAATTGATCAAAAGAAATCTCTGATGTTGGACATGGTCTCTATACTTTTGGGTACTGAGAACCAGGACAATCTTGACTAAGTCTGAGTTTACCTGTAGGAATGAGAAGCTGGGTTGAGGCAGGCTGGAAGAAAACCAAAAAAATTCCTCACCAATAGGACTTTCAATATTTGTACACCAAAATATGAAACTTCACTTACAAAAACTCAGTTCAGGGCAAACAAAAAGCATGTCAGCGCTTATCGATTCCCCTTTATTACCTCACGATAGAGAAAATCTCTTTACCTTATATTTTTTCAACAATGGACAGACTACCAAGACCAGAAAAAAACATTCCCTTAAAACA